TTAAGTAGAGAGAGAGAGAGAGAGAGAGAGAGACTTCTTTAAGATGCCTAGTAGCCTAAATATCTGGTTAGGTGTCCCTTCCATTTTTGGGTCACGGACAACTCGTCACCTACCTCAGTTTCCACTATGACTGAAGGCCATAGGGAAGGTATAAATACCTGCTATTTCCCACATCCCCCTCTTCTTGTTTCTTCCTTCTTCCACTCTCCGGGTCCACCGGTAATGTTCAGTCTCCCAGGGGCCATGCTTGGTCTTGCAGGTAATCAGATATCAAATACGAAGATGCTAGAAATAGAACTCTGCACATAACTTAACTTGACTTGAATCTTGGGGCTGTTTCTATGACTATCTCATTGTGTACAACCCCAAAGGAGTTCGTACCATCTCTAGCTCATCTCTAGCCCCTGTTCACGGTGAGAATAGCTTCCACCCAGAACAACTTGTGTCAAGTTTGTGTTATAGGAAAGAGATAATACGTCCATATGTCAGCTACAAGGAGTGGGGGTATCATGGTTGGGGGTGACATAAGTGGATGTATGTTGTTGCTGTAAAGTGTTGAGTGCATGCATCTGCGACTCTGGGACGAGAAAGAGAGGAGGGGGGGGGGCAGGGAAGGGGGTCATGGATTGACTGTGGTCAAGTGAACTGATTGCCATGAAGCCGGAGACAAAAAAACAAAGACCACAAATTGCATGAGCAAGTAACAAATCATCAACCTGCACAAAGTACAACAATCGATTACAGATACCCAGGTGTGGTGTTCAGACAGGCAGACAGAAATCATAGGTCATGAAGAGATCATAAAAGCAGGAACCTATTAGAAAAGAAAGAGCCCTCAGATGATTCTCCACTAGGCAACAGAGGGCTGTCTCTGTTGTGATGGATTCCAAAAATTGGCTCAAAGAGCACATTGCTCATCCTCGGGGCCAGACTGCAGCTGAGTCAGCAATTAATTAACGCCTTAGCGCGTTCCGTACGCGTCGAGCTCCGAGTAAATTGCGGAGAACTCACATGTGTCTTGATTTGAAGCATCCCTAGTCTGAGAATAGGCTGAAATGAAATACCCCCGATTTCTGTTCCATTGAAATCCGTCTCATATCACCACAACCGATAACCCCTACGTCTAACCCCATTGCCACTTGCATACTTGCCGGTGGGAGCAGTTGGAATCAAAGATGGCACCTCACTCTTCGCAATCCTCTGCACCTTCTTCATCGCTGAAACGAAAGCAAGCAAGCATCTCCAGTTTTTTCACGAAACCAGCATCCTCGGCAACGCCCAAAGACTCCGCACCGACCCCAGATAAGGCGCCTAAGAAAAGACAAGCGTCTCCAGCCGACAAGATCGAGCCAAAGCGAGACGATACTTTTCCAGCAGATGACGATGAAGAAGATGATGATGATGACGAAGATGTCGTGGCGCCTGCACCAAAGCGAGCCAAAACCATCGGCACAGAAGCGGAGGAGCCGATCCGAGTTGCGACAAGCGTGCACTTCGAGCACACCTCTCAGGCAAGCAGCAGCCAACGCACCGATATCTACAAATTCCAGAGCTCCCCTGCTGCTGCGCCAGTCACCACCGAGGAGGAGGGTCCAGAGCAGGAACAGCGGAAGAAAGAGAAGGAGAAACTGCACCAGCAATTCGTCCGGAAGCTCGGTGGGTCAGATTGCCAGGTTGGGATTGGGAGAATCGCAGTGAGCGATGCAGCCAGTGCGGAGATGGAAGCTGCAGAAGCCGAGGAAGACGAAGAGCCCGCACCGCCACCACCCCCGACTAAAGGCAAGGGTGCGAAGAAGGGCGCGAGCAAGCTCACGCCCATGGAAAAGCAGGTCATTGAGATTAAGCGTCAGAACATGAACACAGTGTTGGTTATTGAAGTGGGATACAAGTTCAGGTTCTTCGGAGAGGATGCGCGAATTGCGGCCAAGGAGCTAGGCATCGTTTGCATCCCCGGGAAGTTCAGATTCGACGAACGTAAGTACTTCCTGCGTCTCGGAATACAGAAACCATACTAATGTCATGACCTACCGCAGATCCATCCGAGGCACACATCGGTCGGTTTGCTTCGGCTAGTATCCCCGTGCACCGATTGCACGTACATGTGAAGCGACTCGTTACAGCTGGACACAAGGTCGGCGTGGTGCGACAGATCGAGACGGCTGCGCTCAAGGCTGCGGGTGATAATCGCAATGCACCATTTGTTCGCAAATTAACCAATCTCTACACGAAAGGAACCTATATCGATGACGCTGAAGGTCTGCAGGGTCCTGCGCCGGCAGCCGGAGGTGCTTCCCCTGCGACTGGGTATATGTTCTGTATGACGGAGACTATTGCCAAGGGCCCTGAGAATGACGAGCGAGTTCATGTCGGAATTGTAGCCGTCCAGCCGGCTACAGGTGATGTTATCTACGATGACTTTGAAGATGGCTTCATGAGGAGCGAGATTGAGACAAGACTCTTGCATATCGCTCCCTGTGAGATCTTGATTGTTGGAGAGATGTCTCGAGCTAGCGAAAAGCTTGTGCAGCATTTATCTGGAAGCAAAATGAATGTTTTTGGGGACGCTGTGCGTCTGGAGCGGGCTCAGAAGAAGAAAACCTCTGCTGCTGAGGCACACAGTCATGTATCGGGATTTTATGCAGGGAAGATGAAGGCTACCAGTACCGAGGAGGATGCTCAAGCTGCAAAGCTGCTTCAAAACGTCCTTGATCTCCCGGAGCAGGTGACTATCTGCCTGTCTGCTATGATTGAACACATGACCGAGTATGGGTTGGAACATGTGTTTGATCTCACCAAATATTTCCAACCTTTCTCGGCTCGTTCGCATATGCTTATGAACGGAAACACGCTGGTCAGTCTAGAAATCTACCAAAACCAAACGGATCTCTCGACAAAGGGTAGTTTATTTTGGACCTTGGATCGAACGCAAACGCGATTCGGACAACGCATGTTACGGCAATGGGTTGGTAGACCTTTGCTGGACAAAGTGCGCCTCGAGGAGCGGACAAATGCCGTGGAAGAGCTTATTGATCCTGCGCGAGCGGTTCCGGTGGAGAGAGTACGAGGGTTGCTATGCAAAGTCAAGAGTGATCTTGAGAAAAGTTTGATCCGTATTTACTACGGAAAGGTATGTGATACTTCTGCGATGAACCACGCATGTACTAATGTCGAGTCAAGTGCGAGCGACCCGAACTTCTCACTGTTCTACAGGCTATGCAGATGATTGCAATGGAATTTGCAGATATCAAATCACCTGCCCAGACGGGCTTTCAATCAACGCTAGTGAGCGAGGCAATCGCCTCTCTGCCCACGATCCGAACTTCAGTCGTCAAGTTTTTGGATAAGATCAACTTGCACGCTGCACGAACCAATGACAAATATACCTTCTTTCGCGAAGCGGAGGAGACAGAGGAGATTGGTGAGCTCAAACTCCAAATTGGAAGCACTGAACACGGGTTCTCAGAACACCGCAAGCAGGCGGCATCAACGATTGGGAGAGGCAAAGTCGAATACTCGACAGTCTCTGGCATTGAGTACTTGATCGAGATCGAAAACAACTCCCCAGCACTCAAGCGCGTGCCAGCATCGTGGGTCAAAGTCAGCGGCACAAAAAGAGTGTCCCGCTTCCACACGCCAGAAGTCATCCAGCTCATCCGCGAGCGTGATCAATACAAGGAAGGCCTAGCAGCAGCCTGTGACCAAGCATATAAAACTCTCCTAGCTGACATTGCAGCGCAGTACCAGTCCTTCCGGGATTGCATCCAATCCCTCGCAACACTTGACTGCCTATTATCTCTAGCAGACATAGCCCTGCAACCGGGCTATGTCAAGCCCGAGTATACAGAAGAAGCAAGCCTCCACATCGAGCAGGGCCGACACCCAATGGTCGAGCAACTCCTCACAGACACATACGTACCCAACGACACAAACCTCCAACACGACGGGACGCGCGCCCTGCTCGTCACCGGTCCCAACATGGGCGGTAAATCCAGCTACGTGCGACAGGTAGCACTTATCGCTATTATGGGCCAGATCGGATCCTACGTCCCAGCAGCTTCCGCCCGACTCGGTCTCCTGGATGCGGTGTTCACGCGCATGGGCGCCTTCGATAACATGCTCGCCGGCGAATCAACTTTCATGGTCGAACTCTCCGAAACAGCAGATATCCTCAAGCAAGCAACGCCTCGATCCTTGGTGATCCTTGACGAGCTGGGCCGCGGTACGTCGACGCATGACGGTGTTGCTATCGCGCAGGCGGTGCTGGACCACATGGTTCGGTCGATTCAATCCCTGACCCTTTTCATCACGCACTACCAGCACCTCTCGCGGATGGTGCATTCCTTCCCCGATCACGCTCTCCGTAATGTCCATATGCGGTTCACGGAGACGGACAAGGATAAGGAAGGGGATGGGGAGATTACATTCCTCTATGAGGTTACTGAAGGAGTTGCGCATCGTAGTTACGGGTTGAACGTTGCGCGACTGGCGAGCTTGCCTTCGGCTGTTATTGATGTCGCCCGTCAGAAGAGTGCTGAGCTGGAGGAGTCTATTCGGCGGAAGCGCTTGGCTGGGCTTGTTGGGGCGGTTCGTCGGGCCCTTGATGTTACTTGTAGTCTCGATGGAGAGTCTGCTGGTGCTGATAACCTCTTTAATAGGCTCATGGCCAGTGCGGAGCAGCTGTAATTTTGCAGTTATGCGGGGTATTGGGTATTCTCGGCTGTACATTTACATACCTAACCCTCGATTTTTGATTTTACATTATCTCACAGCATCCCAATAACCCAGTTATATGATGGTTTAAAGTAGACAAGTGTTTTGGCATCGAATCCAGTGGATTCGGGCTGATCAGCGGCCGTGCCTCGTATATATACACACGAGGTTAACATCATTATGATAGATCTATCTTGAATGGCAGTCTTGAATCAACGTCAACAAGGAAAATCTGCCGCTTATGCAACCTCCCTTGTTGGCCTTGCGTGTTGGACGTAAACAATACAGTGCCTTGGTAGATATCTTTTTGGTCACTGGCAGTACCGGCGGCTAGAAGCACAGAACATCTAGACGGCCTTGCCGTGTATAAAAAGAGACAGACAGTTGTCATATACCTGTGCTTAGCAAAATCAACCTACATCCCCACGTAGACTACACTGGCCAGATTTTCTACGAACGCCTTCAAAACCTCGACCTCGACAAGGCTGAACTGGAAGTTTTCAAACTTTTTTTTTGGATTCCATAGTTCGTTTACTCGATCGGGGCCTGGTTCGAATCGGCGTTTGTCTTTTCAAAGTACCAGTGATAAGGAGAAGCTGGTACGAGGAAGAAAAGAGAGGAAACAACATCACAACCTCGTTTGTCGCATTGAGCCCATGCAAGCACGCCTAGATGGGACGTGTGTGTATGTAGTAAAACACCAAGATCGAAACCAGACCAGACCGTGCCACAGTCCACAAACCAGCCCTCGCGCAAGAACCTGATTTCGTTTTCTCGTAGCATTAAAAAAAAAGGCTTTCTATTATCTTTTTTGCGCTCTCTGCTCTTCTCTCTCACGATCGTTTCTCCATAATCGACCTTCCGGGACTTTCGGAGTTGTGAAAAACCAAAAAGTCAATCCACCCAAACCATCACCTCTAGTAGAAACGTCGGAAATCGTAGGAACGGCCCCTCGAGAGTCGGCAGGCGGGGATGATTGGGCAGCGCGGCGGTTTAGGGCTGAGGAAGATAGGAGGTTGAAGGTACGGCAAAAAAGAAGAACGGGGGACTCGATTTTGGCCGAAGAGCAATCATGAAAAACCGGTCGTAAGGGATATGCGAGAGAAGAAGAGAGACAAAATAGACGACGCAAGCGAAATTTCGTTTTGGTGAATTTTAACGGAGACGGCGGGCCTCGCGCTCGGACTCGAGCAGGCACAGGATGTCATCAACGCGGACTGGTGCGGAGGGAGTACAGGTTAGTTATGTGGTCGGGTAAGGTTTTCGTCTTTTGGGTCGATCCTCAAAAATTCCATTTTTCGACATGAAGGCTCTTTTCATTCAAGAATGAAAGATGGATCCATGAATTCCCCCCTCTTGGAATCCCCCCCCCCCAAAAAAACGAGTGGATTGAAGGAAATCAGTATCGCATACCTGGGCCCTTGACGTTACGGATGATGGAGCGCGAGGTGTCGTCCATGAACTCGACGCGGACCTGGGTGACACCACCACGGGATCCTAGATAATTAGACCGGATATTAGCCATTGCTAGTCCTCCAAATGTCTGGTTTCAATCGTTTTGTTTCGGGCGATCCGGGGCGCATTGGGTGCACCCCGCGAATATCGAATATCGAATTGTGGGTTTTGGAGCTTCAAAAATCTGGGAAAGCACATACCGGTGCGGCCGAGGACACGGGTCACCTTGACGAGCTTAACGGGCTGCTTGCTGGAATCCATCTTGGAGGTCTGGAGAGGGCGTTGAGCTCGAGGGTTGGAGTTGGTTGGACTGAAAGTAAGAGAGTGTTGAAGCGGAATTTGGCCTGTGTGGGTTCGTGCAAATTACGCGAGGGCTCAGGGCTGGACACCTGAGCCGTCAGGCAGCAGATGAGTCAGCGAACAAAACTGACACCCGATGGGTCAGGCACACTCAGGCAAATTCAGGCAGAACATTTTTTCCTTGCAACTCCGATATCGTTCAATCGCTCTTCAGCAACTTGGGCTTCCACAGCCAAGAATCCTACGAGATGAATTAAAAGACTCATTGAAGACTCTATCAAATATGCTTTGTAGACATCTCAAATAGCCATATACCACCGATTCCATCACGTGGGCTTATACTGTCCAGCAAGCACGGTACATGCTCCCCCGGTCCCGTCACTGATTCACCGGAGTAATCTGCCCCTCCAATTTCTGCCGCAAGAAGCTCCGGTCTCTCCCTCTGACTCCTCCGGACTAAATCAATTGTTCTATCTTGCCTTCGGGATATATCCACAGTCTCTGAATTGCAATTGACTTAAGCTCTTTTTCAATTGATCCCCGATCAGCCTATTACCCCACCAAAAATCCGTGAAAACCCCGCGCCGCATCACTCCATCGCCATGGATCTTGTCAACCAGTGAGTCAGCCTCAATTGCAAACCCTTGTTGTGATCCCTACTGACACTACCATTTTTAAAAGCCTCGAAGGCCGTCTCCTCTTCGCCGTGCCCAAAAGCAAGTTCCCTCCCAAATTGTGACTCATAGACGCAGCGATACCCACATGAACAAGAGCCAAGAAACACAGATGAAGGATCCAAGGCTGACGGCGAAAACTCCACTCTACAGAAGGACGTCTGCAACAGGCAACTCTCGACCTTCTCGCCGGCTGTGACGTCCAGTTCCGCCGCGAAACCCGCCTCGACATCGCTCTGGTCAAGAACCTGCCCATTGCGCTGATCTTCCTGCCCGCCGCCGACATCCCCACCTTCGTCGGTGAAGGCCGCGTTGATCTGGGTATCACTGGCCGCGATCAGGTCGCTGAACACGATGCAACTCTGCCTGTCGGTGAGACCTCCGGCGTCGAGGAGATCCTCGACCTAGGCTTCGGCGCCTGCAAGTTGCAGGTGCAGGTCCCCGAGAAGGGTGAACTCAAGGAGGCCAAGGATCTCGTTGGCCGTAACGTCGTGACCAGCTTCACTGCTCTTACCGAGGCGTTCTTCCGTAACCTGGAGGGTGCCGAGGCTGGCCAGAAGCTTTCCACGAAGATCAAATATGTCGGCGGTAGTGTTGAGGCCGCTTGCGCTCTTGGCGTCGCGGATGGTATCGTCGATCTTGTTGGTATGTTGTGATCATCACCAGTCCAACTGAAATACCGCTCTGTGCTAATACTTAATCTCCTTTTCAGAGTCCGGTGAGACTATGAAGGCCGCCGGTTTGAAGGCTATCGACACCGTTGTCTCCAGCACCGCTGTGCTTGTCAAGTCCCGCCAGTCCAACAGCGACATCCTCACTCTCCTCACCTCCCGTCTGCGTGGTATAATCACCGCCCAGAAGTTCGTCCTGTGCCAATACAATATCCCGCGTGATCAGCTGGCCGTCGCGTGCAAGATCACCCCCGGCAAGCGCGCGCCTACTATCACCGCACTCGAGGAGGAGGGTTGGGTTGCTGTCAGCTCGATGGTGGAGAAGAAGCGCATTGCTACGGTAATGGATGAGCTTATTAAGGTCGGCGCGAGTGATATCTTGGTTATGAACATTGCCAACTCGCGCACGGATTAAAGATTTGATGATACTTTGTTTTTTTTGGGGTTTTAATAGCATCCTTCTTCGTGATCTCTTGTTTTTTTTTTACTTCATATATTGTGATGAATTCCTCAAGGATGCTGGTTTCTTTTCTTCTGTTTGGTCTTGATCGAGACTGTCTCGCTATTTCGATGGATGTTGGATTGGGGATAAAAAAGCACATACATAGAATGGGATAGGGCAACAGCGCGTGCAAGAAGATCTATGAGCTTTGCTTTAGAATTTCTTCTCTAAATTCTACTCCTGTACAAATAGTCTTATCCTCCCCTGTTGAAGATACGAGACTACGCATACCACTCCATGCAACATGATACGGTCATATCCAAATGCCGAAAACCACACAACCCAACAAAAATCGTCAAAACAGATGGGCAATGGTATCATCAAAGATCATCAACAAAATAATCAACACCAAAAGAAACAAAAGAGACCTCCACACAAAATCCTCACCCTCACAATTCCTTCTCCCCCAGTCCAACTCCCTCTTTCCTTCCCCGAAGAATAGCCTTAAGACACTGCCCGACCCCCTCAAGATCCCCAAGCAGCCCAACATGCCCACGCTCACTCTTCACCAACCCATCCTTGATAATCCTATATCCAGGCGGTAACATAGCAGCCGAAGCAAGACAAACCCCATCTCCAGCCGCAAACGCAAGATCATCATACGCATCAACCTGCTTAATACTCTCACGCGATACAACCCGCGCACCATACACCGTCGGCAACGCCTTCCCGTAGAGGACTGCCGCAGGCGGGTATCTGTTCTCGGAATGATGGCTCTGCCGGAACGCCAAGTTCTCCTTGAACCGTTTAGTTTCTGCCAGCGTGCGCTGCAAATACTCCCTCGCGGCGGCGAGCGGAATGGTGCTTGTCGTGGCTATCTTATTGGCTGCGCCGCTGCTGCGCGGGTGTGCGCCTGGCCCGACTAAGCCGTCGGCTGGATTCTGAGCTTTTTCTGCTGCGTAGGCGGCATATGAGGCTGGGTTATGTGGCGTACCAGTGTGGCGGGCATAGATGTCTTTGTCTGTTCCAGTGACGGCGTTGTGTGCGTCATGCGGGTGGTTGTGTGGATCTTGGGACAGGAATTCGTCGGAGTCGTCGCGCGGACCCATGGAGAAGCGCTTGCCGATAATAGGGATGTCTTTGAACCCGAGGGTTGTTGGGGGTGCGGGGAGAGCGGGGCCCATGCAAGGGGAGAGACGGTAGTCCTCCCAGGTTTGGGCGTTGAAGAAGTCGACACGGAATTCTTTTTTGCTTTGCTTGTCGATAAAGCAGTGGCCGTCTTCGGGGAGGAGGGCGAAGCTCGTGCGGAAGGTAAAGTTTACTTGCGCTGTTAGAACGCGGGAGCTGAGGAGGACGTCGTCGCCGCTGCGGAGGGGTCCGAGGATGTTCACGCAGTGTTGTGGTACGCCTGCGTACAAGACTCCAGCGAAGAGATCGGGTCGCTCGTTGACGGCGTGTCGGGTTATGAGACCGCCCAGGCTGTGTGCGATGACTGTAGCGCCGCGTCGGGGTTCCCCTGGTGCAGGCTCCTGGTTGCTTGGTAGGCTCTCTAGAAAGGCAATGAGCCTGCGCGAGAGCAGCTCGGGGCTTAGACGCCAGTCGTATCCATAATCGTGGACACGCAGGTCGCCACGCAAGGCGTTTTCGCTCTTGCGAAGGCGCTTCATCAGTCGTCGACAAACGTCCACCGGGCCAACGTGAGAGAGAACCCCGGATGCAAAGATGGTCTCCTCCATGCGCTCCTCATCCTCCGGGTTCAGCCCGACCTCCAAGTCCACTTTCCGCAGATTCAGGCCAACCTTCATCGGAACCCAAAGTTGACGATGGGGTGGCTTAGCAGACCGCAGGATTGATCCTCGGTAGCCTCCTAGAATCACGATATCGCCCGTAAGATCTGCCATTGCTTCATCCAAAATGGGATTGGTTGTGTTAGAATTGGTCCGCGGAGTTAACGGCGGGGTTGCAGTCCGTGGTGGTTGCTCCCCTTTGCAAGTACCACTAGCACCGTTGCTGTTACTTGATGAACCGTTTCCAAGATCTGGCAGGAATGGACGAGAGCCCCAATCGGGGCGGATGTCCTGCAGATGGAGATTGGGCATGCTGAGCAGCCTGCTACTCGAGTCTTGGAGGCTGTCCTTGATTGCCTTGAACCGGCTGTTTACCTGAGTATGCACATTCTCGTACAATGGTCGCTGCTCTAGGGATGATGCCGTGGACGACGCACGCAGATACAGTGATTGATCCGACGAGGATCTCCGCAAACTTGGTGGTCGACCGAGCTTCGATGAACTAGGTCTCCGTGTGAAGGAGTGTTTTGCGGTCAGGGTTTCCCCTGGCGAGCGCAGCTCAGGCACCGGCTGAGCGGCTTCTCCGTCATAGTCAATGCTAGAGCTACTTGGTCCAAGACTTGACGTTGGCGGACGCAGGACCAGCGATGAAGTTCTTTTCGGCACTCCTGCGTTCTTTTTCACGGAAGGAGCTACTGTCTGACTGCGGATTCGGTTATGGCCATTGTGGGCACCGAATGAGAGAGAGGGTCGTTTCCTCAAAGAGGTCAGATCAGGCAGGAGTTTTTTCAATTCGCCAGACCAGGCGCGTGGTCGGCGAGGTAATGTGTTTTTCAACAAGGTTCCGACAAAGCCAGACCGCTGGTTCGCCGCGGTGTTTTTCGACCCGGTCTTTTCAGGCGTCGAGGCAAAGAGGTCGCTGGGAGGGCCATGTGCAAGGGGACCTGGCTCGGGCTGCGTATACCGCGGAGAGGAGTATGATGCCCGAGACTTATGTCCGGACCTTTGTTCGCGTGGTGCGGTCGCTGGTGGTTTTTCGACCTTGGGCTCCACCGACTCTGGCTCGGCCGTGAGCTCCGATGCAAACAGACCATCATCGCCTAAAGTATCCGGTATAGTGGTAAAATATGATCCCTGGTGTTCCAGCACCCGATTCTTCTCTTCCACGGGGGTTGCCCGGGCCTTCATGCGACTCTGTTCGCGCCCAATGCTAACCCCCACCACGTCACCGGCAGCATCTTCGTCGGTGACCTCGATCGAGTGCGGGATTCGGTCGTCGCTATCGGAGCTGGATCGGGATGAATATTGGGAGGGAGAGTAGGAGACGACCGGGTTTGAGGATGTCTCCGAGGAGTACACTGTCTGGTTCTGGGTTACCGCAGCTGCTGTCGCAGTGGTTTCTGGAGACAGATCTGAGGAGTAGGGTCGGTCGGGGGGAATCGAGGCCATAGCGAATTATGGCCAGAACAGAGAACGGTCTGAAACCAGTTCCCAGACGAAGATTGAACGAGTGTGCAATTCTCCCCAAACTTGGCATTGGGTGTATATACAAATGTGGGGCGCAAAACGGGGAGCAAATGATTGTTTCCTACACCGTAGACTCTGTATAATCTGTTTGTACAAATTTGTACAGATGAATACTTGAAGAAGAGTTGCATTTTTTTTTCCAATGCGTTTCATAAACTGGAACCAAGTGGGTTTCAAGCACAGCCTTCTCGGGTCGGCCGGATGTTGACAAACAGCTAATTGTCGCTGGTGCAGAATAAGAACATTTAAGAATCGTTAAGCAAATGCTTGGCCTCTCCCTGGACCCTGATGGAACCTAGATGGGACCTAGATGGGACATAGATGAGACCTAGATTGTACCTGGCAGTCTCTGATAAGTAATTTACATTTATCGACACTCTCTCTTTACATTCGCCTTGGATTTCGGTCTTGTCTTTGGTGACTAAATGCGAGACATTCTGGAAATAGATCCTTGTTTAATAAGCCAACCTTGTGTTCCCGAGGTCCCCTCTGAAGATCTGCACATGTAATCTATCTGTTTCCTGTAAACCGACCCGACCGAATTTCCTCCGCGCCCTTATTCGCAATCTCCTGATTTCTCTCAGCACCCTCATTAGATCCAAATGTCCGATCAACTGCCGTATTTACCGCCCCGCGCAATGACTCTCCAGCACCCTATGCCACAATCAGCCCTCCCTCCCCCAGTTCCCCCCCCCCAAAAAAGGAGGCTATCAACTTACATGAACCGATGCCGCAATCCCCTTCACTTTATTTCCAAGCCCCTCACCAGCCCGTGCAGCTCTAGAATCCTCGATTTCTGCCCGCTGCGCCGTACTAGCTGTGTGCGGGAGTGGCGCATCCCCTACAATCCGGTCATCGCTGCGAGACGGAGACGGTGAAAGCGGTCGCTGGCGGGTCTGGGTTGGCCCACCTGCTGATTCCCGCGAGTAACTGGCTCCTGTGGCTGAGTTATAGCCCTTAGATTCATCATACTCCGATCGTGTATCGCGAAGACCTGTTGGAAAGCCTGGGGCGCCGGTCGAGGAGCCGCCACCCACTGCGCCGCGGGAGGTGTGGGTTGGATCAGCGGGTTCATAGCTGTGGTAGGGTTGTGACATGATGGTATAGATCTTTGATTTCTTGTTGGGTTAGTGAGATTAGAAGAAATGTAGTTGGCGTGTTCCAATTCTTCGGTTCAGACTTCCCAGGCAATGACGTCACGATGAGGGCGTGCAGATGTATCGATTCCTCTTAGCCCTGGAGGGATCACAGAGCTTTCACAGCGCTGCAATACTGCAATAGATGTATACATCTTCTTTGATGTTCAAACCAAAGCCAAATTAATGCATCTCCGAGAAGCTGATTATGCAACAGCTTCTACTTTCATGGTAGCCGGTGAAAAGCCGAGGTCCAAGGAGCAGTTTTCCTAAAATGGAGTGTCTCCGATCTGTCCAGAGACATTTTTATAGAACTCCGCTTCCTCTTCTCTCTTGACAACACAGCTTCACCCTTCAGAATTCCCCAATTCCCGTTAAAATGTCCAACAAACAAATCATCTACACCACCCCTCCGGCCCCAGCCATTGACCCCTCTCTCAGCAGTGGCACCTTCCGCCTAAACACCCTCCCTATCCCCAGAGATGTCCCCACCGACAAGCTCCTCGTGCGGGTTCACTACCTCTCCCTCGACCCAGCCATGCGCCAATGGCTCACCGCCAAACGCTCCTACATCGCTCCCGTCGAACAAGGCGCCGTGATGCGCGGCCAGAGCATCGCCCAAGTCCTCGCCGTAGGCACCGATCTGGCATCCAAGTACAGCAAGGGCGAATGGGTCGTCGCTAGTTCCGGCTGGCAGGAGTACGCAGTGGTCGGCACGAAAGAAGTAACAAAAATAACCGTGCCGGCCGGCGGACGGCCCACGGACGCAATGTCCGTGCTCGGCCTCACCGGGCTGACGGCCTACTTTGGTATGGTGGAGATCGCGCAGGTGAAGAAGGGTGACACGGTTGTTGTTTCTGGTGCTGCGGGCGCGACGGGCATGGTGGCTGGCCAGATTGCGCGCATCAAGGGCGCTCAACGTGTGGTGGGGTTGGCGGGCAGTAAGGAGAAGTGTGATTTCTTGATTAACGAGTTGGGATTTGATGCTGCGGTCAATTATAAGGATCCAGATTGGAGGACGCAGCTGAAGCTCGCTACGCCGGAGTTTATTGATGTTTTCTTTGACAATACTGGTGGTGACATCCTTGATGCTTGCTTGGCGAGGGCGGCTCAGGGCTCGCGCTTTGCTATCTGTGGCGCTATCAGTCAGTATAATGCTGCTAAGCCGCAGGGTCCGGCTAGCTTTATGAGTGTGATTGTAAGTTCTTCTTGGTGGTGGGGCAATTTTGGGGGGAGACTTCGGGCTAATGAATGGCAGTCGCAACGGATCACCCTGAAGGGGTTTATCGTCTTCGATTTTGCGAAGCAATATCCAGCTGCACTCAAGGAGCTCGGCTCTTGGTTGGCTGAAGGTAAGCTCAAGCGCAAAGAGCACATCGTGCCAGGTGGCTTGGAGGCGGCGCCCCAGGGTCTCATTGACCTCTATGCTGGTGCTAACACCGGTAAGATGATGGTCGAGGTAGCACCGGTCAGCGAGGCGTTGGCTCCAAAGGCCAAGCTATGAACGTATATCTGGATAGGGCGCATTTCTCATTTTTCATCTGTTGTAGCATCCTATCACATAGCAGATGACGGGATGCTTTTGGTGCATGCCATATTGAACATAGTTGTGACGAGAAGAAATTCCCAAATAGACGCTACCAAGGCCTATCATATTACACAGAAGCACAGATCTCACTAGGTCTTTCTTTTCATTTTGGCTCTGTGTTTTCTGTCTGCTTGAAGATACAAGGGAAGTGACATCATCATGATATCCATGAGCCCCTATTACCACGTTCATATACTCTGAGATTCAAGATTTAGCAGCAATTGGAAGACACTCGGATGGTTGATTGGAGCAACAGATGACCTACAAATGATTGCATCGCTGCAACAGGTAAAAAATCCGACTCGAACAGGTTTGAGCTTCTATTTTCTTGACTGGTCACCCTTTTAAATCATCTATAAAGACAGCCATGCCGCGGTTCTCAATACCAGCTCTCCAAAAGAGTCAAACAGCTCTAACATCAACTCCATCGAACCGAGTCCTCCAGCTCTCTCCTTGTCTACTTTCTCGTCACTTCAGATTAACTTCCCCCAGAGAATCCCCCATTTCAGACAAGACCAAAATGGCAGTCAATGAAAGTAACCAAAGCTTCAAGCTTGAAAACCTGTTCAATGTGAAGGACAAAGGTAAACTGTACATAATGACCCCTATCCAACAACCTCATTCTAACACCACCAGTGGCCCTCGTCACAGGCGGTGGCTCAGGAATCGGTCTCATGGCAGCGCAAGCCTTAGCCGTGAATGGAGCCAAAGTATACATAACCGGGCGCACAGCAGAGAAACTCGACCGCGTCGCCACACTCTACGACAACGGCAACATAAGCGGCAAAATAATCCCGCTGCCAGCCGACGTCACCAAGAAAGACGAGATCCGCAGACTAGCCTCGGAGATCTCCACGCGCGAAGGCCACCTCTCCATCTTAATGAACAACGCCGGAATATCCAGCTCAACGCAAAAGACAGAGCCCGAAGACGCATCCGAGCTCCGTGAGTCCCTCTTCGACGACCCAGCTGCGACATTCGAGGAGTGGGACTCTGTGTTCCGCACGAACGTCTCACAGCTCTTCTTTATGACCACGGCATTCCTGCCGCTGCTACAGCGTGGCTCCGAGGTCGAACATGGTTGGTCCAGCACGGTGCTCAATACGACTTCCATATCTGGGATTGTGAAGGTCTCGCAGCACCATTTTGCCTATAATGCTTCCAAGGCGGCGGCGATTCATTTGACAAAGATGCTTGCACAGGAGGTTAGTTCGTCGAAGCTGCGGGTTCGGGTTAATAATATTGCCCCTGGGGTTTTTCCTAGTGAGATGACTGCTGGGGAGAGTGATGGAATGCAGAAGAGTCATCTTCCGGTTAAAAAGTATCGGGAGAAGGTTCCTGCTGCACGGCCTGGGAGGGATGCGGATATGGGTGGTGCTGTGCTTTTTGCGGTTTGCAATCAGTACCTGAACGGGCAGACTGTTGTTGTTGATGGGGGGTACGTTCTTGCTGCCGGGACTCTGTGATTGGGGGAAAGGGGGATAGGGCTTGTGTTTGTGCATCATGCATTGGTTTTTTGCTTGAGGATATTGTGAACGCGAGCGATGAGAGATCAAAAATGTATTTGAAAGGAAGGTTTTCTATCCAGGTAAGCATTGCACAGGGATTTCAAATTGCAGCTTTGCTCAATATCCTTTTGCTCCCGCCTCACACACAACTACACCGTTTATCCATTCTGATCGCAACAACTTCGTTGTTGTAATACGCTTCGAGGAACAGGGGTGTAGCATTGCGTAGATGGCGTTGCGTCGTCTCTAGAAACTAAGATTTTAGCGACCTTTCTTCTGCGCCAGGACCCCAAACCATGCTATAACCTACTTGGCCCAGAGTCTCGATCGGTGGGTATCCATCCTCCCCACAGCGAGAATGAAGATAATCCAGATACCGCCCATCCTCCTGATGAGGACGTGCACTACGCCACAAAATCCGATCGGTGACGAGCGCCATGTAAACGATAGCCGTGGCCCATACATCGGCAGGACGAGAATCACATTCACCACGATGGCTGTGGTCACCATGACAATATGGTGGAACATGAAGCTTGAATTCTTCCGGAGGAATATACGGGAGCCTCATTCCCACAAACGACGCAGTGGGTGAGTTCGCCATCAAAGCCTGACTCCGATTTCCAGAAGAAGACTCAGAACGTTGACGATACGATCGACATATTAAAATCAGCGGCCACGATAGCGCCAATGACCATATACTTTGTGTAGGTGGCTGTGTTTGCGAGGGAAGCATTCCTCCAGCCCTGGCCTCAGCGGACTCCTCCCAGATCCGCCGGACATGTCCATCGCCAAAGCCGGCTAGCTTCACAGCTCCGTTGGCCGTGAGAAGGACTGTCTCGAGGCGGACATCACGATGTGTTGTACCGTGATCATGTAGGAAGGCGAGCGCACGCAGGATCTGGGTTATTATGCAATCCGCCTCTTGGGTTGGGAGAGGACCCTTACGGGATAGGAGGCTATTCAGATCGCCTCCGGCGCAGTATGGCATTACAAGACAGAGCTCGCGACGTTCGTTGTGGAGGATGTCTAGGATTGGGAGGATGTTGGGGTGGCTCGGATGCAGAGATGTGGAGTGAGAAGCGCTTGGGGGACCTCTGAGGATGGAGCGTCGGTAGACTTTGATTGCGACGAAGGGGTTCTTGCTTCCCTTTTTTATTTTGCTTTCATGGAGGCGGGTTGTGCTGTTTGAACCATAGTGCACCATGTGGCGAGAACGGCCGTATTTGTCTCTGAAGGAGAGGTCGGGCGATAGGAACGAAGATCTTGATGGCGTTGAGTCTCGGCTTAACAAGGGTTGCTCCTCTGTTGGGACTGATTCCAACCGGGGTAGATGGTCGTTCTTAATCGCAATACCATTGAACCGGTGTTCAACTGAGAGCTTCCCTCGGGTCAAGGTGTGATGATGATCAACGGTCTGGGTGGGTGGACGCATGAAAACTACTAGACAAGTGTGGTCACGTCCTTTAAGTCCTTTCCTAAATGCGATGGTTCTAGCGTGGGAGAACCAACCGTTGAATAGAAAGAAACGTCATGTCAACAAGGCACCACGTCAATGCCCCTTTAAAAGACCAGGATTGGACCAGGATTAGACCAGAATTGGAACGAATAAAATTTCCCCTTTACAGATCTAAGACGAACCCTAACGGAAGTAGGGAGAAATGTTTTAAACTCCAACGCCTACATCGCAGTATTATGGTAGTATGGGATTGTGCAGTATCAGTTCAAGTCCACTGAGATTTTCTGCGATTGGATGGGACAAACTGCTCACTCAAAACGCGAATTAACTTTTTTTAAATCCCAGCCAGTCTTAAGTGAAATTTCCCGAAAAAGGATTCGATAGAACTGAGGTCTGAGGTTGAATCTTGGTTTCTGTGGAGAGGAAAAATCCCGCATGGTCCCCCACGGGGGCTAACGTACTTTCGTGGCGGTGTCCTTGGAATTTTTGTTTTGTTTTGGTTTTTTTTTTTTTCTCACCCGCTTGCCTTGTGCCTTTTCTTGGAAATCTGCGGTATTTGTTCTTATTTTTTAAATCAAAGTAGGAATGCTCTGCTGTGTTGAACCAGGAACTTGGAGCTGAACCAGAAGAAGTTAGGGCTAGGTTCTGTATTGTCACAGATCTCTGATCAGTGGTTAATGATTGGGTAATGAGCTGGGTATGGGTTGGGATTACGGTATATGTATGTAATACATCACACAGTTTATGGGGGGTCGTCTCAATATACAAGGTATCTGGTGGTGGTACCTGGCTTTAATATGCAACTCTCGGCGGTTTATCAAGTACCTGTGGACCTCTGTGGATGTAATTGTCCCTTTTTTTTTATTTCCCTCATTTTCCAGAACCGGCAGGTCCCTCGTGGACGCGCGTGGCTGAGTGATACATTTCGTCTGGGAGAACCTTCCCAATGCACACCTGAGCTGGACCAGCTTTGGTCGAAACACATCGGAGTTGCCCATCTAGGCAGACCCTGGTGCCTATATAAACGGAGGGTCGCAAACTACTGTTTCTTCTTCTTCTTCTTCTTCTTTTTTTTTTTAAAAAAAAACACTTCGACGACTCTTCAGTGTTCTACGTCTCTGCATTCCTTCCAGGGTGATCGTCCCTTCTGGCAGTGCTCTGATTGAGTGTCTGCTTTCCCCATCCTTTTCGTTTTTTACACCCTCTTCCTATACTACTACTGTCCTTGTCCCTCCATTCTCTCCTCTACACCCTCTGTATCAACGGCACCCATGACTCCAGAAAACAGCAACAAGGACATTGACATCGAGTCAGAAAGTAATGCATTCAAAGATGATGAGCGCACTGGACGTTCCACACAAATCACCTTTGAGGGGTCCACACCTGCAGAGGGGTTCCGATCTATCTACCAGACTCAGAGCAATCGCCCCCGTTCGATAAGCCGTGATACCATTCATAGCACCAGAAGCAGCATCCAGGGGATGCCCGAACTGCCAATTGAGTTTCGAACCATCTCCATTCAAATTTCGGAATCCCAAAATGCCCCTAAGCAGGCTATCGTCAATGCCACAGAGAAGCAGCCTCATCAAGACTACTTCGAGAGCTTGGACTTCCATATCATATCCCCCGACAGCCTGTGTCGAGAATTCAATGTGGATCAGCGCACTGGACTAAGTTCGTCCTCGGCGGCCACACGTTTGCAGCGAGATGGCAAGAATGTCATTGCCCACCACGGAGAGAACTATCTCAAGAAGATATTCTTCTACGTCTTCGGTGGATTCTGCTCTGTTCTTTGGGTTGGAGTCGTCATCTTCTTCATTTGCTGGAAGCCTCTCAGTAACCCACCCTCGTCTCAAAATCTTTCTCTGGCTGTCCTCATTTTGATCGTCATTGCTTTACAGGCAGGCTTCTCAGCTTTCCAAGATTGGTCCACGAAGCGTGTCATGAACTCGATCCTAGACCTACTCCCCGCCGAAGCCATGGTGCTGCGAGATGGGAAACTCATTCACATCCCTGCCACGGACCTGGTTGCGGGTGATATTGTTCACATTGGAATTGGCAACAAAGTCCCAGCTGACATGCGCCTTTTGTCCAGCTCGGGCGATGTTCGCTTTGACCGTGCTATTCTGACAGGCGAGTCGGATGAGGTTGAAGGCGCCATTGATTGCACCGAGACCAACTTCTTAGAGACTCGCAATATTGCCCTCATGGGAACCGGTGTTACCAATGGGAATGCTATTGGGATTGTCATTTTGACCGGATCTCGCTCTGTGATGGGCCGTATTGCGTCGATGACGGCTGGTGTCAAGCAAAAGACAACCCTGATCCAACGCGAGATCAATCGCTTCGTTACTATTATTGTCATTCTTACAGTGGTCCTGGCTTTGCTGATCCTGCTTACCTGGCTAGGATGGCTGCGCAAGGATCATCATTCCTACATGAGCGTTGTAGCCATGTTGAACAATGTCATGGGGTGTGTTGTTGCCTTCATACCCGAAGGCATGCCTGTCGCCGTCGCTTTGACCCTTATGATGATTGCCAAGCGGATGAAGCAGACCAACATTTTGCCCAAGGGCCTGTCAACCGTTGAGACTCTGGGCTGTGTGAATGTACTCTGCTCCGACAAGACTGGCACTCTCACTCAAAACCGCATGTTTGTCAAGTCACTCGGAATGGTTGATTGGGAATACAGCCTCGAGGATTTAGCGCCTGGGGGGTTCGGAACTGTTGATCTTCCCGAAGGCTTAAAAAGGATGCTGCAAGCATCTGTTCTGTGCAACGACGCCACCTTCGACCCGACTACATTGCATCTGCCCGTTCATGAACGTGATGTTAACGGCAATGCTACAGATGCAGCGGTTTTGAGATTTGGTGACAGTTTTGGATTAATTTCTCCAACTGCCCTGGCTTTATATGAACGTGTTCATCAGATTCCATTCAACTCGAAGAACAAGTGGATGCTTACCTTGCACCGTGATCCTAAATCCACCAAGGAGTTCATTCTCTACGTCAAGGGAGCACCAGATGTGCTGTTGGGTCGTTGCACCACTTACTGGTCTGCTGTTCATAATGCAGTTCGTCCACTAGATGTCGAGTCACGGGAAAAATTCTCCAACTTCCAGGCTAAACTATCACGTCGTGCAGAGCGGGTGATTGTCATCTGCCAGCGTCGTTACATTCCACACTCTGCCCCTGGCTCCAACGATTTCAGCAATGAGATGTTAGACGACGGTGTGCAGGATCTCACAGTTCTCGGTATCTTTGGAATTATTGATCCACCACGCCCGGAGACGGCTTCGACTGTCGCAGCTTGCCGCAAGGCGGGTATCCGATTCTTCATGGTTACCGGCGACTTCGGACTGACTGCAGCTGCTATCGCTCGTGAGATTGGAATCTATGACGGACAAGCTGAGCCTGACACCATCGAAGAGCTGAGGGATGGCCTCGATCAATCGATGGAAGTCAAAGTTCCGAAGTCCCGACACAGCTTGCTTCTTGAAGGACCCAACTTGTCAGCGTTGACTTCAGAGCACTGGGAAATAGTGTGCGGCTACGATGAGATTGTATTCGCTCGCACGACCCCCGAGCAAAAGCTTCGCATTGTGACAGAACTTCAAGCTCGTAGTTGCGTGGTTGCTGTGACAGGTGATGGTGTCAATGATGCCCCGGCCCTGCGTGCCGCAGACGTGGGTATCGCAGTCGGATCCGGCAGCGATGTGGCAATCGAGGCCGCTGATCTGGTGCTCTTGGACAAGTTCGACTCCATCATTGAGGCTATTCGCCTTGGTCGGTTGGTCTTCCAGAACCTGCAAAAGGTCATCGCCTACCTCCTCCCAGCAGGTAGTTGGTCCGAGATTTGGCCCGTGATCATGAACGTCTTCTTCGGCTGTCCTTCTCCGCTCAGCACCTTCCTCATGATCATCGTCTGTGTCTTCACCGACCTGTTCCTATCCCTTTCACTCATCATGGAGAAAGAAGAATTCGACCTCCTCAGCCTGCCCCCACGCCGTCCTACCAAAGATCACCTCATCAACCTCCGCATCTATGGCCAGTCGTACCTGTTCGTCGGTGTGATGGAAGCCTTCAGTGCCCACGCCATGTTCTTCCTGTACATGTGGCGACACGCAGGGATTTCCTTCTCCGACCTCATCTTTGCGTTCGAGGGCTATTCCGAGGGCTTCCACGGATATACCGCGGACGAATTGAACCACTTCGTCAGCGTAGGCCAGTCTGTCTACTTCGTGACCCTGGTCATCATGCAATGGGGCAACGTCTTGTCTGTCCGCAGCAAGCGCATGTCCATCCTCCAAGCTGATCCGATCCGTCCAGCCCGTCGCAACCCGTGGCTGCCTCTGGCCATTCTCATTTCGTTCATCATCGCTATCTTTGTCACGGAAGTCCCAGGCATCCAGAACCTCTTCAGCACGGCCTCAGTCCCAATTGAGTTCTGGTGTATCCCACTTGGCCTTGCACTGGGCGTCCTTTGTATGGACGAACTGCGCAAGGTGCTAGTCCGACTATTCCCCAAGGGACCTGTGGCCTGGGCCTCGTGGTAATCAGATCTTGGAATGCTTGTTCGTGAGAAAAAAAAGAAAGAAAGACCAACGAAAAACAAAATCTCAATGTCGGCAAATTCTAACTAAGAGGTTGGATAATCATAACTTGTCATGGAGGACATTGGCTTGCCCTGTTACCTTACCCTTACCTTTACCTCGGGTTCCTTTGATTGTTTGTACATGTACTGATTCAATGTTGATCCTCATGATGATTACATGGCTTTGACGAAAAACCAGAAAAGTGGTCAACGAGCCTGTTGACCATAGATTTAAGAAGCACAGCTAACCAATCATAAACCCGTGACATGTATCACGTCCCTTTCGATGTATCTCTAGATGAAACTCTGCTCTCTTCGAGGCCTGGCTCTTTTCATCGAGACACCATGTGCCTTATCTGATAATGCACATTTTGATAGATCGCGGTTTGGTCGAGTGGTCCAAGGCAATTGACTCGAAATGAAATCCGTTCGCAGGCGGATCATGCTGCGGTCTTAGCATGAATTTTCGGCCAATCGGACTTGGACCTGAACTAGTAGTTGCGCAGATGTCAATTTGGTCCCTTGGTCGTTTAGCATTCAAGCAATGTTTTCTTCTAGATGCACAACTTGGCGACCTCCCCGACTATGTAAATATAGTATAATTCGCGAGCGAAACCAATTGAAAGATTGAATGAAAAGATCTGAATTGCTTGTAATACCACTAAACAAGTTCGTACCAACGATGGAAAATAGCGATTGCATCAGGGCATGACAGTCAGGATGGCTAAAAATACAAGATAGAGATGTAGTAGAAAAACAGAAAGTGAAAAAAACAACAACCAATCAATAAGTTAAGAATGCTGGGGTTCCCGGAGGAAAAAGAAGGGAAAAAAAAAGTTTGAGAAGAACAGAAACGAACGGTTTTCATGCGGTCCTTTGTATACAGAATAGACAAAACGGCTGTGCAGCGAATGACATGTGTGCAAATAGGGTAGAGAATAGATAGCAAAGCAAGCAGACACGTTGGTTAGACTCTGATTTCGTGCTAGGCATTCTCTGAGGGAGCGAGTGGATATGGAGATTGATGAGGATGTGAGGGTGTGGCAAGGGAGGAAATGAAGAAAAGACCGAGATAAGACTGAGGCCCTGGTAGGCCAGAGACACGGATTTGGAAGGCGCAACCAAACACCACATCCAGCAAGCCTTTCAAGTTTGGGGTTGTTGGCGCACTTTCCCAGCCTCTCGGACGGCACTCATAAACCCATCTTCGTTGCCCGCAGCAGTAAGAACCCAATAATCACCAACGCCGAAATTTTCGATCCGCCCCCCGCCGAAGCCAGCAGCAGGGGCGCTGTTCCGCTCTTTAGCTTTCTGCATGTTTGCTCCAAGATCAAGATTATGGGGACCCCAGCCTAGCATGTCCCGCACAGCAAGACGGGATTGGTCATTAGTCTGTTGGAAGGAGAACAGCTGGGCCTGGAGACAGCCCATTATGGCAACGGCAGAGCGGATCATGATGCGGTCGCCCTCGAAGACCCAGCAGTCCCAGACACGGGAGATGCGTTCGAGGTCCAGGCCGTTTGTCAGCAGCGAGCGGAAAATCGGCTCCCAGATCTCTGCCTCGGAGAGGCGGAGGATTTCGGTCAGGTGAGTATGCAAACGAGGGAACTTATAGCGCAAGGTGTCCGAGGCTAGTGCGTAGGAGCGGGCCATGGCGCCACGGTCCCAAGTGAGGAACGCGACGGGTAAAGGACGGTTGAGGGCGTTGGCCATGGCGAGGAAGGCGGAAGCGGGTGTGGGGAATTGCAAAACGAAGAGGGCGGCGATGGTGTGCAGGCCGTGGATGTAGCCTACGTCGCTGCGGTACATGCAGTATGCTTTCAGGACGTCAATGAGGATTTCCCGTAGTGGACCACCTTCTTGGAAGATGTTCAGATCTGGGAAGGCTTTGGGCACGTCTGTTTCGATCGCTTCAAAGCAGTCTTGTAGTCTTTTGTTGCTCTCGCTTTCTCCATCCTTCTTGCTTTGGAGATCCTTTGCTCGAAGAAGCGCTTTGGCAAAAGTTTCCTCAGTTAATGCTAGTTCGTTGCCAATGGCTCGTTCCCATATGTGGCCCCGATTGCGGGGTGGGATTCCACGCCACCACAATTCGCGAATTCGGGGCTCGCGAAGAGCGCGGTCCCAATTCGGATACACATATTCATCCCAGATGTTCTGCAGTGTTGCTCGGGTGTTGTCCTTTGCACACTGCGCATTCGCAATTTTGGCAGCTTTGCGTTTTTCTGAAATACCAATTAGAAGGCCGACAAAGCTTCGAGTATCTTGTCTTAGCACCTACCAGCTTCTCGAGACTGGGCCATCATTTGCTGATACTGCCTCAGGTGTCTTTTCTCCTCCTTCTGGTCCTTAGGCGGAAGCCAGCTTGGGCGTGTCCGCGAGAGGAATTTTTCTTTCTCTTTGCTAATTGGCAGCGGATCAATCATGATGTTTGATTTCTGCAGAGGCGGTAAGGCGACAGCATCACGGGATGCACGATGCGAGTCCTCGCTAGACTTCCGCGAAGCACGGGTTTGAACATGCTCCTCCCGCTCGCGATCTTTATCATCAGCATGCAGCTCCAGAGCTTCAGTAATAATCTTTGCTTCCTCGGACAAGTCAGAAAGATAACTGTTATACGAGTAGGTGCGAGGGTTGCGTGGCGAGATTTGTCCACGCTCCGGCCCCGCGGAGCTCGATCGTTGTATACGCTTCATGCGGGATGCCTTGGCCGTATTTTCGGGTGACGCTAGCTTGTCGGTTTCCGCCACGGTGTGCTGAATAGGCAGAGGCCGCCGCCCAGGGCTGCGACCATTTGGACTGGCAGATCGTGAAAAAGTCCGCTCTTGGACTGGGCGTGGAGAGATAGGAATGTTCCACAGACTTGCATCGTCCGGCAGTTCATCGTCCGAATCATGGTATTCTTCCTCCAGGTCTTGAACCGACTTGCGATTTGGCTGCCAGCTTTGTTTCTGAGTTGGCACTCGCGCAGATAGCGGAGACAAAGCTGGGCTGGTGCTCGAGGTGGAGCGACTGGATGTCGGCCGTAGTGGTGAAACAGATCGTGCACGGCGGGCGTGCGCTGGTGTCAAACCAGGTGACTGCAGCGTGTTGCCCGAGTGTGTCCGATTTGCAGTTCTCGCTGCGAGGGAGCCTGCTGGCGCATTGGCCAACCCACCGTGAATCGGGGGTAGGGGGCTTCGCTGGCGAGATTTCGGGGTTGCGGTCAAGTCGCGAGTTGAGATCGTAGGGACTTTGCTTGACATTCCGGCGGCGGGAGACCGTGCCTTTGCCCCAGAGCGGCCGTAGGAGCCTGGTGGATCGGCGAACGATAGGGCGGCATCATCTTCCAAGCCAATGTCTTCGAAATTCGAAATATCCGTGAAGATGCTGTCGGGACCGTCCAGGTGAGAAGAGGAATGAAACGAGGAGGATTTAGAGGATTTGGACCCGGAGAGCTCGGGGGGAGAGTTGGGGGTCGGCAAAACGGTGGTCATGATCTCATGTGATAATTCAGATGTATGGATCCCCCACAATTCTGATCTGCCAGTAGAAATACAGAGAGAAAATCAACGGGATGACCGGAAAGGATCAACAACGAACGTGAGGACCGAAGCTTTTGGGCGAGAGTGGCGGAGAGGGTTCGGACAAGAAATAGGAAACAGTAACACCGCAATAGAGGTTGATTAATGTAGAAGCGAATTGCAGGACGGCTCCAGCCTGGTGAAATTCAGATCAGGTGTAGTCGTGCAAAAAGAGCGACCAGGAGACGAGATGACGGGGTAACCACTGCGGTCCAGGGGGTTTGTATTGGAAACAAAAATAGGTGGAAAATGAGTGTGGGGGACTAGGCAGAAATGAAGTAAAAGATTAAAACGAGAGACGAAGACAAGTCGAAATCCAAACGAGAGTGAAAGGAAGAAACCGTGATGCTGAAGGCTGCAAACGGAGAGCCTCAGGCAGTGCCGCACTTGGTCTGGCCGAGAACAGGGGGGTACCTCGGCGATACTTCATCACACTAGTGCATAAAGGGTGATGGAGAAGTACCACTTAAGTATCCACTACTCCGTACGCTTAAGGGGATTAACCGATCTCTGCCCAGAAGGGAAGGGATAGACTTACACAGCCTGCAATGACTCTGAACACAGATATCTTGATCTGAACCCCCTGAATCATGATCTTTTTCATATCGGGTTTAGTCGGATTCAGTCGGATTTGTGCCCAATACCGACTAGATAGATGGGGCACAGAATGTACTCTTTAATTGGTCCTAGGAGATAGTGTGCAAAAGTACAAATGTATAGCTTTGGAGCAAATGATCATGCAATTGCACTGATTATTCAGATCTGCAGACATTCCACAGTCCAGCATTCTAGAATTATTCTAGAACCGCCATTCCTCAAACATCGCATTTCCCTTCTTCACCACCTGCGCCATCCTCAAAGCCTCGGAATCTGATGTGGGTCGAGCATCCTTGATCAGCGAGTCTAGCCAGTGGAGCACCACCGCATACCGCGTTTGTTTGCGCTTCAAAACAAACCGAAACGCCGCAGAAGCGAGATACTGTAGATGGGGTCGCTGGACAAAACACGAGAATGAAGACTCCAAATTACCAGCACGCCGGGCCTGGATCGTGCCGTTCGTCTGCGAAATCAGATCGCGGATAGTCTGTGTTATGATGCTAGGACCGGGGTGCGCGCGGCCCCGAAGTGACTTCATATAGCGGTACATCTTCATGGCAGAGGTGATGAAGCTGCAGTAGAGGTTGGCCAGCACAACTGCACGTGAGTTGTGCCCGTCATCTAAATACATGGGATGTAGCTGTAGGCGGAATGACGAGAGCACTTTGCGGTGAAAGGTGCGGCCGGGAAGACGGGAGGCCTCGACGGTCAAGGTGTTGGAGAGAGTAGTAGCAGCTGACTCGCCGCCCTCTAGGATGCGATCTCGATCGCGGTGGAATTCTAGCGTGTGGGTGTCGATGAGACTACCACAATACGGGAATAATGTGGTCCCTTCTAGTCTGGGGAGCAAAATCCCGTCAAGCGCTGCGCTGAAATTGGCCATGCTTTTGGCTGGATTGACTTGTACACCGTACGCTGGTTGGCCCCGAATCATTGCTTCCAGGAACTGCATTGCCACACCTGCGTCCGGTGTGATCAGGAGGAAGTCGTCCACGAGTCGCAAGAGTAGAGAATCCTCGGGTTTTATAAAACCCAATACCTTTCGCTCTAGCTCGGCGTAGAAGAAATTGCATAGGATGCTGGATAGGACGGAGCCTTGAGGAATGCCGTTGCGTTGGCGGAAATATTTCTTGCCTACCTTCACGAGATTGTGCCGGACATGTTCATCAAGGAGGGCCAGAAGGCTATCAACATCGTGGTCTTTTTGAGCTATAGAGTCGACAAAAACGGTGTTGGCCTTTCGTGACGCGCCACCGCTGTTGACGTAGTCGGGTAAGTGTTGTGGCCTCCTCGCAGGCGCAGCGCGACTCATAAATCTCCGGGTGGGTTTTCCTTGTTGCGCAGTTGGAGCGGGTGGTTGGAATTCGGTGTGCTTCGAGATATGGTAACTCTCTTCAGAGACCAGCTCTTCGATCAAATCAAGTAACCTTTTCTGGGGGATGGTGTCAAAACAAGCTTTGATATCAAGCTTGACAAAGTACATCGGTGGGAGCTTGGATTGCGAGTATTTAGTACCCGAGGGTAGCGATTTGGACAACTGCTCTTTGTAGGTCTTCAATCGGCGGTGCATATCTCCAATGGAGAGCATTGACGAGCCCAATTTGGCAGGAGCTTGCTGGCACTCGTAGGTCAACATATTATAAATAGGCGTGACACTTGTGTTGATGCTGGCGGCGAGGTACGTGCGCCGTTTCCCCCAAGTCGATTGCTTCAAGGCCCGTTTGCGAAGATTCAAGATGGGCCGGAGGCCTGTAGATTTGGGAAGCAGACGGAGAGCACCGAAACCAAGAGTCCGCTGTGCCAGCACACGTTGGGCTCGAACTGGCTCGAGTTCCTCGAACATCGTTGCCTTCAACTCCCCGAAAGGTTTGTGGGTCAACTGCTGCCACAGATCATGGCGGAAATAGAAAAGGCGATTCCGGTGCGTTTGGGACTCGGTGACATAGAAGTGCGAACGGATGAGAGGAATAAGAATTGAATCGAAAATCCAAAACACGAATTCATGGAATATTTCGATGCGTTTGTGCAAGTCAGACAGGGCTATCTTCGACCTTGTCTTAGATGGCGAAGGAGTCTGAGCCTGGGGTGACTCTAGCCACGGAATGCTTGTTATCTAGCGTAAGGATCAGTACGACTTTGTCTTAGACTCTCAGTCCCGTGCAAACGACAACCAACCTTGATACTCTTACAGACTTCATGCAGACTTAGACTTTCGAATCGGCGTAATTTGATAAATCGGTCAACATGTCTTAGTATAAGCCTTAGGTTCGAATTGCCATCCGGACCAACCCCCCAAAATTGTCGAGGGACCAATTTCTGGATAACCGCTCGACAAAAAGCTGAGACAGAAGAAGTCGGACTCGCATAATCAGTTAGACTAACTTGAGTTTTTTGAAACGCCGGTTTGTTGCCATCGACTCTACAGGATGCTTCGACAGCCATGTGCGGCTCTAATCTCGAGACATCACAAAAGGTCTGTACCGAACTGTAACTTGGCGAAGGATAGCTAATTTGAACTTGCGTTACTAAATTAGACTGGAGAGAGGAAATAGGCTCGCTCTTTTTGGCATCAGGCGTGGAGGCAAATGCGCCAAGTCTCCTGGGTCCGGTCTGCTGTCAAAATTTAGCTACACATTCCTTGCCATTGTATACAAAAAGTGTCTCACATCGGTTGGACAGTAGTATCGCAGCAACTCTCCGTAGGAGCACTGTGCATTGCGGTTCCGGAGCTTCCGGACAAGCTCGATGGTAATTCCACGAAGTCTCTTAGGTACCTTGATGGTTCTCTCGCTTCCAAAATCTGCGTCAGCGAATTCATTCGTGGACTGGGGCCGCTGTCGTCGTTTCTCTTCTTCCAAATGAGATATCTCACTCTCACGAAACATGAAACTCTTCGAGTCATCCATGATGTTGTGGCCATCCGAGTCCAGAGTAAACACATTTAGCAGGCCAAATTGCCGGGGAAATATGTACTTCATCACGTGGACTGTTTGTGCCATCGAATCAAGCGATAAGAAGCGACTAAGAACATCTAGAGTGGAAATTAGCATAAATTTCGAATCCGACCATCAAACGGCGAAACACGTACGTGTCTGTCCTAGTCCGGAGGGTAATTTCTTTTTGGACTCGACACGTCCATAGAGGATACGCCGCCGTAGAAACACAATGCTATTTGGACTTTGGAAAGTCTTATTGGAATTCCGTTCGCATCCAGCTTTCTCTTTGGGATGCCTCTGACCAGTGGCAGAAGACCCATTGGCTGCTGAGGACGCATAGCTCAAAGGCTCGAGGACCGAGAGAGGCAGACCTAGAAAAAGATCAGAAAACCAGCGCTAAGTTTCTCTCTGCATCTTGACAAAACATACCGCTGAGTTGGTAGTATATGCCCTTTCGAGCGTCAATAGCGGCAAAAAGCCCACAATCGAAAAGCAGTCGCAGCATAATTTCTTCGCCATTACTACCAAGCAAGCCAAGGACCTCTGCCCATGCACCCTCTTTTAAAACTCGGACATTCTGATTCGGAAACTGAGACACAATGCCTGGAATGCTAGTGTGTTGAACATTCGGCCCATTAAACGGGCGTTGGAAGCCATGCGTCAGCAAATGCTCAGGCTTCTGATAGGAGCCGTTGCTATGATTGAAGAGTTTCCAGATCACAAAATCAACCACCTGCAACAAGGGTTAGCAGTCTGATAGCTATGAATAATTCAGTCGTTATGTGATCACCTCAGACTGAGGACAGGCCGGCCCTGTATCGGTGCTGACGAGAATCGACCGCGATTGAGACTCATTAAAAGATGAGTATTGCTTTTGTCGCTCCAAATTGAGGGTCGGAGAAGATTCCTTCAGCACACCCACTAGGGTTGAATCTAGGAGGTCCGCCAATGGTTGGGATTGTGCATTGGAGTCTTGGTCTTCACGCGAGTCCAGTGTCAGGATGCGACGCCGACGCGACTTGGAGGCCACGGGAAGTTGCTGGAGCAGGTACTCCCGTAAGGATAAGACATGTCGGTAGTACAAGGAGATAACGGGATGAGTTGTTTTTGTCAGGGAAATTGGCGCATGGGAGGGTTTGAAATGACGGGAAGATGTGGTGATACTCATGTGAGACGAAGACGTGGGCACGCGGTCCTTGATGGGTCTTTTCCGTTTTTTGCCCATCTTAGGTGATTAATTGAGTTCTTTATTTTCTGCTTTTCTTTTTCAAACCCCTGTAGTTTGGTTTACTCCATTGCGTGAAAATTTTTCTAGGCGACGAGTTCTCAGTGACACGCGCGACGCGTCAAGCTTCCACGGCACAGAAGGTCGAATGGGTGAATGCTCTCTCGTTCAAAATCAGGCACCTTGTATTCGTGCTTTTTACACCTGAATTAGCTAAGGTCTCTTGAATATACATAGATCTGTACCTTGTACAGAGGACCTTGTACTCCGGTATATGTAAGAGACTTCGTGAAAAGGATGTGCAAGTACGGAGTACGTGAAACCAGGAACAGGAACCAATCAAGGCTACCAATTAAACATCGTGAACCATGGAATGGGCGGTCTAGATGTCATTGCGTCTCCACTGCGTCATCCATGGATCATCAGGGTATTGATGTTCCTGAAGATGAGGTACACATGAGTTACCGTATTGGAGGTGTTTTAGATGGCTGGAGTATTTCAATACCAAAATAATAACTTGTACAGTACAGCAAAGAACCCAGCAAAAAACAACCTTGGACAAAGAAATCCAAATCCAAGTTACTTCCCAAATTCAGTTTTACCTTCAATACACATGCATCATCCACTAGAACGAACTCCCAGTTTCATTCTTCTTCTCTCTTCTCTTTTCTTTCTTCATCTCGAATCTGATCCTCGAATTCATCGGTTTCTTCCATTCCGATCACAGAAAATTGTTCCAAAACAGATTGACACTGGACAGTGTAACTTCAACTCGTCACTAGTGTAGGTCAGCACGTCAAAACGGATTGGTCCAGAGCTAACAAATCGGCCCACCGCCAGGATTCGCTTTGAAACCCCTCAACTACCAGGTTCCGTCACCTATCAGCGTCCACTGCTGCTAGACAAAACGTCAGTCCTGAGCTCGACCCTCCTATTTGTCCTGCCCTTCGCTACAGTGCAATTTCGGCAACTGGCCGATCCTCGATCTCATAACTCTACCCTTCTCCGATCCGTCCGATCCGAACTCCATTCAACGTTTACGATTTAGGTTCGACGGGGAGATATCCCCTCGACATCGGGATTTTTTTTTTGCAAGTGTCTCAAACATGAATGCTGAATGGGTGGGCGCCACCCGAGAGGATTGCTTTGTAGCCTGAATCGACTCACCTGCGACATTCCCGTTGGGCGACCATCCCGGAACAACGCACCAGCTCAACCCGCCCAGAACCGAAAGGCCGCGACCAGTCCACGTCGACCTGTCAGCCTGAAGCATGCAAGATGTCTGGCGGTGACGAGCAGGGTTTTGATGTCCGGTATCGCGAACCGCCTCCGTTTGGGCGACAATCGTCGGCTCCGGTATTTGGCCAGTCTGGCAATGGTCACACTACCACTTCTTTAGGCGACTCGCCGACCGTCTCTTTCTCCCCCCAGGCACAAGCATCGACCACGTATTCTCCACTACCGTCGGGCTTCGTTCGACCCCACAGTCTCTCCACTTCCACAAATCATCTGTCGGGCGATCAATTGGAAGATCGTAGAGGCCGGGAGTCTCCAGACCCTGCTGACTATTATCGCCAGCGTGGATCCCTGCCAGGGACTTCATCCAATGTAAGAGAGGGGTTCGGCGATGTAAGAACGGGCATGGCTGCGGCCGACTATTCTTCAGTCGGCGACAAAGCGTCACCCCTGCCAACTAACACGTTGGAGTCGTCGCGCGCTAGACATCAACCATATTGTACAACTTCAGATTCTCCAACATTGGGAGCTCCCTCGGCCAACATACCCCCGTTGCACGCGAATGCAAGGGCACGACAGCCGTCGTTCAAAGATCTTGTCAACAAGTTCAACAAAACCTCTGATCAGGTTCTCCCTTTGCCGTCTGTTTCTCGTTCAACGTCACGAGCACCGAGCCCTTCCGGAAGTGTTGATGGAGAGCGAAATCAAGTGTTGCCACGAACTCGTCAGCATCGTGATTCCTTGCCAGAGTCGATCAATAGCAACCCTCCAGCGTCAGTTGTTTCGAATCCATCGTCGCCAGAGACAGATAGATTCGCTCCGCCCCTAGACACGAAGAGTGCTATTCCACCGCCTCTGTTTCAACGGATCACAGAGTCGCATCCTCGCCGGCAATTGTTTGGTGAACTGTTGCCGATCAACACACAATTAAACAACGGGGTCATATCGCGTCTACAACAACGCCGCGGGTCGGATGGAAGTATTCCAAGCCCAAACCCAACCTTCCTTGAGCATCGTGATCAACATCCTGCAAAAACACCACTCACACCTACTTCATGGTATCTTGGACACACACCTTCCTTGGAAGCAGTCCACGTCGGGATACACAATACCGCCAAACATCGCCGTGTTCGCAGCGACTTGGAGAAAAAAAGAGAGCCCCTTGCAGAACCGTGGAATCCTAAAATGGCCGTACCTGCGCCCTTGCTGCGGACCAAGCCCGATCATGGATCGCCCCCGGGCAGTCCAAATTCCAAGTCTCGCATTCCTGTCTCCTCGCACCGTCTCGCCACTGCTTCCGGTCCCGAAAGCTTATCACCATCCTCCAATCCAACCTTCAGGAGCCGATCCGCTGCCATCACCTCGCCGCCCAAGGGCAGTAGCCGCCTTCCTATTCCGTCACCTAAACAAAGTCCTCCCCGCATGCCGGCAGATGATCCAGCTTCGGTCGCAACAACCTCGCGTGGTAGTAGGGATCTCACAATTGGCAGAACCCGCAATCAGCTATCCGAATCCAGTCGCCGACTTCAGGCCTACATCGCTGAGCCGCCATCCAAAAAGTCGCCTCCGTTACGCAGTTCACGACCCCGGCAACCCGTCTCACATGGTGCTGCGGTCTCTCCACGCTCCAAAATCGGAGATAGAGTTTTGAATTTACAAAAACACGTCACTCACAGCGACTCGCGTTCCCGTTCTGAACGAAAATTACCTGAATTGGGTAAGGTTGATTTTGACGCTCGTCGCCGGCACATTCAACAGGCAATCAACCGACACTCGGTTGTTCAAGAGAATAAGAATGACAGAGGACCGGACAAATTGGCTGCCGCAAAGCTTCGACGTCACGCTTTTGTGCTCGAGCAAAAGACGCATCGAGATTTCAAGCAGTTGATGGATGAACCTGCAATTACCCCTAACCTGCCTGTGACCAACGCTCCGTCATCTGATGAGATGGCTACTATGGTCAATGAGTCGGTCGGCTCGGTCAATTATAAGGAGAATAGGGTTCAAGCGGTTCCCAGGCTGCACCTCAACACTACCCTCCCGGCTTCCGATATGGCAGCGCCCCACACAACAATGGACTCTCCCACTCTCGGCCTCCCACAGGATGTAAAAACAACGGCCTCAGTTGAGGGGCAGTCTGCTAATGAAGACGCGACACACTCCGGTGCCACATCAGACTCTGGCGGTACCCATGTCACTATTTTTGACCCGGAGCCGCAGTCCGCGCTATTGCAGCGCGATCCCAGCGCTTCTCATCGAACAATTCTTGAACAAATAATGCAGATCCGTGGATCCAGCCCGAGCGACGACTCATGCGATGAACCTGATTGCAGTCTTTCGGACAACGATGACAGAGAGTCCATCCAGATCATGCTTGGAGATACAGCCTACTATAATTCGTCTAGTAGCACGAATACTCAGGAGCCTGAGCGTACACCAATGCACCAGGTTCAAAATGAAACTCACCTTCACAACCGATGGAGCCTGAGGTCATGGTCATCTGGGCAAAACCAACATTCCATCTGTGACGAGCAGTGTGATGAGAGTGGGGATGATTCTCTGCTACGAGACCATGAAACGGAACCACCCACCGAAAATTGTTCAGTTGTCTCAACAAGACCAGCTTCAATAGCGGACGACGAATCACCTGCACCAATTCAGGACCATGGCGTAATGGGACCTAATACACTGCAGAGCTCTGAGATGTTTCGATCCAATGCCTTTTCTACTCCACCAAGCTTAGCTAGATTAGGCAGATGGGATTCAAAGCGTGTCACTCAGCTCTATCTGGAGGAGCTGACGCGAGGCAGGAGCCATCACCATGGCTCATCAATTCATCCCTCGTCCGAGCCTCAATATCATCCCTCGGAAACACGTACAGATGGACGACCCGATAGTCTGACCGACGACCCAGTCGTTGTGCCAAGATTCAAGGATTTCTATGCATCAGACCGACTCTCACACACGGCTAGTTTGGTTGGACGTGATGATTGGGAACATGCATCTCCTTCCATCATGGACTGGATGCAGATCGCAGCTGAAGATGATGATTTGACCCCCAACACTGAAATCGATGGCGTGCGTACTGCGGGGGTGCTCACACCCCGTCTGGTGCTTTCGACATTCCACGATGCTGACGCATCAAGTACGAACAGTGGCCTTGGAGTCTCCGTTGATGTTCAGGCTTTCAACGAGCAACTTCAGCCTCATGTGTTTCCTTCGTCGGCATTCATCCCGCCCTCAATAACCCACCCAATCGGCAATGGACCTCTTGGCGGTCAGCTATGGGGCTACGGCGGACTCTGTAGCAGCAAACAGGCTGCTCCTAGAGCTGCGAAACACAGCCCAGGCAGCAGTCAGGACTCTTCTTTCCAAAATTTGGAGTCCATTCAATCTACTGTGGCCGCTGACTCTTCCGCTACTTCGCTTGTTCCGTCCACCGAGCAGACTAATCGGGTTGAGCAAAAGGGTTCGCCTTCTCCGGAACAACGACGTCTCAAGAAGCGGCGTCACATCATCAAAGAACTTGTTGATACAGAACACACCTTTGGTCATGATATGATAATCATTGAGGACATCTACAAGAGGACCTCGCTCACGGTACTGGAGCCCGATGATGTCAAGGTTCTCTTTGGCAATTCCGATCAAGTCGCGGCCTTCTCTGATAAGTTCTTGTATGATCTCAAGCAAGCAGCTCAAAGCATCTACATTATACCAAAGGCTCTGCGATGGACCAGCAAGCGAAAGCGTAATAATCATGCTACAGAGTCAAAAACTCCAGAATTAGATGAAGGAACTGAGCTTGCAGCCATTTCGGAACTTGAAAAAGATGGCGAAACCTCTGTTGGGCAAGTTTTTGTCAATCACATGACGCATATGGAAAAGGTCTACACCGACTACTTGAAAAACCATGATGCCGCAAACAAGAGACTTCAAGTCGTGCAGCGTAATTCAAAAGTGGGCTTTTGGCTGAGCGAATGTCAAAAGGGTGCTCTGGATCTCACGACCGCCTGGGATCTGGACTCTTTGCTCGTTAAACCGGTGCAAAGAATCTTGAAGTATCCCCTTATTCTCCGCGACCTGTTGGAGTGCACGCCAAACGACCACCCGGACCGAGCGGCAATTGCCAATGCCCTGGAAGAAGTCACAAACGTTTCTCATCGTATCAACGAACTGAAGAAACGGGTAGACCTTGTTGGTCAAGCTGTCGGTCGAAAGCGCAACCAGTCCGATGTGCGTACTGGTCTTTCTAAGGCCTTTGGTCGCCGCACGGAGAAGTTTAGACAGCAAGTTGGCCTCTCGGACTTATTTGAAGACAAAACCTACGATTTGCTAGCGCAGAAACTCAGCGACGGCTATTTTCAGTTGCAGGTTGTTATGCGTGACGCTGAGAGTTACTCCCGGGATGTGCAACTCTACTTGAATCAGTTCAACGAGTATGCCGACTCGATCGAAGATATAATTGGCATGTCGCCTTCTCCGTATCCCCAGTTGGAGAGCAAGTGGTATCGGTTCAAGATGACAGTTCAGGACCTTGTTTCGACTGACCTGCCAGAACATGTAAGTTGTGTCGTGTTTATATCTTGAACAGAACATTAACGTTTTACTACAGCTCACTGTCGTCCGCAAAACGGTTATCGATCCGATGGTTGAATTACTAGGACTTTACAATGCACCACAGCGAGTTATGCGAAAGCGCGACAAGCGACTCCCAGAATATGCACGCTACAAGGCCATCAAAGACCGCGGCGACAAACCTGATAAGAAGACCATCGAGCAAGGCGAGCAGTTCCTGGCTTTGAACGACACTTTGAAGGATGAATTACCTAAACTCTATGCGTTGACTTCTAAACTGATGGCAGCTTGTCTGAAGAACTTTATTGGGATTCAAACTGCTTGGTATGGTGTTTTGCAGAAAAAGATTGGCGCTCACGTGGAACTGTTCCCCAATGATCTCGACAGGCTCATCAGCGACTTCAATAGTGACCACGCTTTGATGGAGGCACGAATGGGGGAGCTAAGCTCATGCAATGGAGCGATGATGACTCATTCGCTCAATTTGGTCTCTCTTTCACCCAGTGAACAGCAAAACCCCATCTCGCCTCGCCGTCCATCTACTGTGAACAGCTCAAATGCGCGACCTGGTTCCTTGAGCGAAGGTTCACCCAAAGTTTCCCGGGATTTCAGCGTCGGCAGCCATTCGTTCCAGTCTCCTCAGATGGAAAGTCACTCCAGCCGCAGTAGCTGTTACCGGGCTGATTCCATTCTATCTGGCCGAATGGTCTCAGAAACTCCCAGTCAACTTCTACAACAAGTCACCAGCTCTCCCACCCCTGCAAGGACGAGCGACGTTGAGTCTTTCCCAAGTCTGCCGAGACTCAGCCTGGATACACCTTTCCTCGAGGATGTGATAAACAGCTCCTCGCACTCGAGCAGTTTGCTGGCCTTTCCGACGGATCGATACTCGGGATTTTTCTCGTCCGCCATGCCCATGTCGGATGTCCCAAGCGATACTGTTGTGAGTGGGCATTTTGAACGCAGTCGCCCTCCTATGGGCCCTGCAGCCTTGTTCTGCGCGGCAAGTGTTTGTAAATTTGACATCGACACTCGTACTGAGGGCGGATATCCCTATCTAACCTACGCCTCTGGGGATATCTTCGACATCGTAGGCGAGAAGGGCGAACTCTGGCTTGCCCGCAATCAGGACGATGCCACCAGAACCGTTGGGTGGATTTGGAACAAGCATTTTGCCCGACTCAGCAGCTGAATCAAATTCTCACGCCATGTTTCTGATGTGTTCGCCAAGCGTTTTTCAAAAGTCTGCAAGAAAAGGACCAACACAAAACACCAACCAACAAATATTTCATGCTAACTACAGGATATTGCAGGATCATATTCTATGTTTCATTTGCCTGATTTTTTTCTGATCTGTCTCCATGTTGTTTCCAAATAATACCCCCTGGAGACCAGGGCAAATCAAAAGCAAATACGCTAGTTGCAATGTTGCCGCTTTGTTGCTCTGATCTGCTTTGGCTTCATTAGGCGTCATTTCACGCTGATGATTTATGGTTGTTTCCTTTTCTGTTCATCTCAGTCGCTTTTCCTTTATTCTCCTTTTTTTTTCTTTCTCTTTTCATTATGTTCGATCTCATTTTCTTTCCTCCCATCTCAGCGCATGGTCTGAACTCTTCTTCTACTGGAGCTCTGGGAGGCACGTTTAGATACCCCTCTTTCTTCTGAATTAAACCTTTTAATAAATCCCACTGCAGACTGATCCATATCATAAGTATCATTGGATTCCGTGTATTTATATCAGCTGTACCTCGCAATCCTTCCTTAAATGATAGTCCAATGTTGCAGTATGGTATAGCATCATGTGACTTTGCATGTGACACAGCCCGATCAACCCTGCCTTGATTGCCTGAGTCCAGTTCTTTTGAGGATTTGTCCCTCCTCTTGTATTTTGAGTACTAACTCCTGTGCCTGTGTTCAAAATAACAGCATCCCAAACGACAACCACATCCCCAGTCTAACCTCCCCAACTCGGGTGACCTTCAACCCTACACGGCCTGCCTGATCTACTTACCCTTACCCTTGGAACACTGGCATGCTCCTCGGCATACTCTTTGACTAGGGATTTGTCCATAGAGCGCAATTGAAACTAGCATTAGCATTCAAGCATTCAATCCATTTTCCAGCTCTTCTATTCTCCGCCACCTGTAAGGCTGACGGCCTCCCCCTCCGAAGCGCCGCCCAATCCCGAGGTCCCGACCCACTTCCACTCCGCCAGTGCAGAAACGGGGGACACGTTCGAGTCTGTTACTCGGGATATTGCCGACCTCTCTTTCGCCCCCGGCTTCGCTTGCCACTGAAACGGGTTGCAGATTGCATCCCACTTACCTCGTGCATGAGTCCCGGACTCTCAGGTTCTGCACAAATATCTGCCCCGTTTATCTCAACCGCGATTTGTGGGGTCTGGCTTGGCTGTCCGAGGAACCTAGGAACCTAGCACATACTGCGCGTTCTCGATTGTGTGCAGTGTATAGCTTGTCACTGCTCTGACGGTGTCCATATTCTGGCGGTTTGGTCTTGGTTTTGTGATCTACCTCAACACACATATCATATTGCTATCATGTTGCGCAAGGTGCGCGGCCGGTTTGGCGATAAGGTGAGTTTGGCTCTATTCGGCATTAGCGGCGTAAGAACTGACTTGTGCAGTTGAATCCAGATGATGCCTTTTTGAGTTGTAAGTGTTCGAGGCGGAATCTGCCCTCTTGGTAATCTGAAGACAGTACACTTACAAGTCGTCCTCGGGTGCTCATAGATTACGACGTGCGATGTATGGAATCCACCCCCGAAGTGAGGAAGGGCTCTAGTTTGCTAATGAACATGCAGTGACAAGAGAGGACATGCAAACTCTTAAGAACGACTGGCTCACAGACAATGTGGGTTTGAATGGCGAGACAATCCTTCCAGCCAGGACATATGAGCTAATGTGTCACAGATCATCTCATTTTGGGAGGAGTAAGTCTCCAGAGCCGGTCTGACATATCTCACACCACCCAACATGGCACTAATTCCGACTCGCTTGCTCTAGGTATCTCGAACATGAATTTCTTTCACGATACCAATCCTCCAATATCATTCTCCTCCGTCCCAGCATGTCATTCATGATTCTTCAAACCCCCGATCCACGCACCCTGCGCGAAGCACTCCCGGACTTTACTCGAGCCACCCATGTATTCCTCCCCATCAACGACTGCCGCAATGTCTCCCAAGCAGAAGGAGGCACACACTGGTCCCTCCTATTGATCTCGGTCGTCGACCGCATCGCATTCCACTATGACTCGCTATACCAAGGAAACATCTGGGAGGCAGAAACGTTGACTCGTAAATTTGGATACCTCCTAAACATTCCCATTAGGTTCCTACATCTCAATGACTCACCCCAGCAAGACGGCGGCAGCGACTGCGGTGTCTACGTGTGTATGAACATGCGTCATCTTCTCATGAAGCGGTTGCTGATGGCGAGCGCACATGAGAAGGTGAGTATGAGTCTCGGTGGTCGGAAGGTCGACGCCAATGCTTCTCGGAAAGAGATGGCCAAGATCATCGAAGGGTTCCGGAAAGAAGGCGAGCGCCGACGATCGTATGTCACCCGTGGTCAACCTAGCTGTGCAGTACAGTAAGGAAAACAGAAGCAAGAAACTAACAATGGATCTTTTTAGAACAAGCGGCAGTCCTATGGGAAAGAAATCGAGGAGTCCTCCGCGTGTTGATTGATTGGTCTTTCCTTGTTCATTTTTATGAGTTTACGCCTGCTTTTGGTTCCCTTACACACTTGCCGACTATTTTTTACAAGGCAGAGCTTCATCGAAAACATATGGACGTTAAATTGACGACCGTGTACTTACCACCGTTGCATTGCTTGAATGCGTATCATGAACTACATAACAATATTCAATGTACGTTGCATTGTATCATCTGCTACTCACTAACTTATTTCTATTGGTTTCCCGAAGGGTTTATGTACCTGGACATACTACCTGCCTCTAAAGGGGGGTGGGATATAAACACCTCATCAAAGATGGCCAAGTGACCTAGTTCTCCGAGTATAGCTCGAATCCACATTCTCCAACTAGGCCAGGCATTCCCGAGGGTCCGACCTGGCACTCTGCTAGTGAAAAGGAACGATCAGTCGCCATCTTCCGCTTAGTACATATGACATGGTCAATCTCTAAGTCAGGCTGTTGGTTCTAAATTAATTGCAACGTTGCAGGTTCTCGAGATGCACTATCGATGTGTAGTTTGACTTTGCAGAAGGCACTATTGTCTACGGACCAGACTGCTCTGACATCAACGGCTTCGTGTACTTTTATAGTATCTAGGTGATCTGTAGGCGAAAGCACGGCCGATGAGCCATATGTTTTCATCTATCTACTTGATGGATTCCCGGACAGGATTTACTATTCGAAGCCTGGTGAAATCTTCGACTTCTCTCATTGTTCAATGGCTGAGTCTGGTTTGTACAATATGGGGGACTATGGGATGGGGAGGGGCAAAGCGGGCAAAGATCAAATGCCCCATTTTGTAGGGATGATGCCTTTAGTTATAGATTGTTTTCGACATGTACTACAACTTGAAGCGATTCCAATCCCGTCAGGTTTATCAAATCCCTCGCGCCAATGACCGCAGGTCGAAGGGGGCTGAGCGCCAGAATTCTGCAAGTACCCTAGTGCAAAAGACAATAGCAGCTTAGGAGTGACCTTGAAACTGACAGCCATTTGATTGACAATGCGACGCTTTTCGACCTTTTTTGATCGATGCTCAAAGTCATCATCCAGAGGGATGTCCTCTGTGGCTGGTAAGCCCGATCTCTTCGAGTACACCTCTGGACGCTTTTTGTGAGTCCTGGCGGCGGTTAGCTGATGAACGCGTCAACTGCGATAAACTGACTTGCAGCGTCCAACTAGATTCAACGAAGAGCTTCGTCACGCTGAACGCCGTGTTAAATTCGACGTGGATGCTCTTGCAAGAGTGGCCTGTCATTCTGTCGGTCGACACTTCAAGAGCGTGGCCTCGGTCACAAAACTCGCCGAGGGGGGCTTCAACCGTGTCTTGCAAGTCACCTTCAACGACGGATATGCTGTTCTTGCAAGGCTATCGTACAGAACGACTGTTCCGAGACATCATACAGTGGCTAGTGAAGCTGCTACACTCGCACTTCTGCGTGCTCATGGAGTCCCAGTCCCAAAAGTCCTTGCGTATTCTCCAGATCAAACAAACGCCGTCGGAACCGAATATCTTATACTTGAAAAGCTGGAAGGAGCGCCCTTGAGTGAGCAATGGCTCTCCTTGGATACCAAAACTCGGGTCAGAATACTGAGACAGGTTGTCGATCTGGAGAGACGATTTATGAGCATTCACTTTCCAGCAAGCGGAAGTCTCTATCACCGCCAAGATCTCGACGACTCACAACTGTTTGCCTCAGTCTCGGACGACATCGTCGTTGGCCCAACTGCACAGCATGAATGGTGGTATCGAGAACGGGCCTCTCTAGCGGTTGACCGCGGCCCGTGTCAGTCTTATCCAGGAGTGCCTATTTTCTTTGAAATTATTGACTTCGAGCCAGGGAATACCTTTCAGCATGCTTTGAAGCACCTGCCAAGCGCGATATAGAATTGTGTGAAAGATTTGGCAAACCACGCCTACATGTCGAAAGATACCTACGAGAAATACACCAGTTCCAACCCCTGTCACCTATTCCGTACCAACATCTTCTTGCCAAATTTTTGAAGTTAGCGCCCTACCTTGACGTCTCATCGGGCTACCGCATGGCTCGTCCGACTCTTCGTCATCCGGACTTTTCGCCGAGTAATATTTTGGTGAATACGTCCAACGACATAGTAGGGATCATTGACTGGCAACATGCGGTCATTCTGCCCCTCTGTCTATACGCTGGAATCCCAGATCATTTTCAATATTGGGGCGAATATTGGGGCGATCCAGTATCTGAGTCGTTATCCAAGCCGGAGGTCAAATTACCAGACAATTTTGATCAACTCAGCCACGAAGAACAGGCAACCATTCAAGAGACAATGCGGAGACAGATAGACCATTTCTATTATGCTGCATTGACTATGAAATCCCTGCCGGATCATTTTGACGCTATCAGAGCAGAAAACTGTATGCTTCGAGCGAAGCTATTTCATCATGCACTGGCTCCTTGGGAAGGAGATTCTGTCTCATCAAAGTGTGCCATGTTGCAGGTCCTCAAGAATTGGCCTATGTCGCTAGATGAAGGAGCACAAACGAGACCTGTGGAATGTCCAATTCACTTTGCGGAGGAAGAGGTACAGACTTGTTCGGAGGATCATCGCCAAGAACAAGAGAAACTACAGGAGCTGGGTGAGATGAGGGATCTGATCGGGACAGATGCCCTAGGCTGGGTTTCACATGAGGATGAGCTCGAACGATGCAGGGCTGTCATCCAGAGCATTATGGATGGTTTGGTGGACCATTCAAGCACTGAGATGGAGAAAATCGCGGTCCTTTACCATTTTCCTTTCGATGATCATGAGGAAAATGCGTGATGTCTTTCCATAGTTTAGGTCTCGATCTTGATGAATACGTCCGCAGGTAATTTTGCAAGTTAACACACATTGCACATACCTAATTCGAGATCGGGAGTCGTTTTCCCTGAACAAAAACAAGTAGAAGTTGAGCTGTCTAATTAAAGTCCTTCCATATCATCCCGGCAGCCCCGTATCTTATCGCCGTGCGG